GCAGGAAGTGACAGGCCAGCTCTCTTCACCTCTCAGGGACCCGCCTCCGCGTTACCAAGGCGACAGGATTTTTTTTTATATAATCTTAAAGGTGTAGGCGGCCATGACATCACCCTTGGCTGGTTGGCTGGTTTGGGCTTAGTCGTGGGAATGTGGACGCCCTGGCACACACACACACACACACACACACACACACACACAGAGCAAAGCCAAGGCAGCTGCGCTTTGCAAAAATTTCTTCCCAGGACAGGGCGTTGGAGATGGGAAATTGGAACTATTCGGACAATTATGGTTGCTTTTTCACACACACACACACATACACACAAATGGTGGCGAAGTCTAAGCTCTCCTTCTTACCCAAGTCCTTCCATTTGTCTTTGGGCCTAGTCTACTTGAGGCTTTTTTTGCTGGTTCATTGGAGATCAGAGTCTCAGCGACTTTCCTGTCTGGGCTGGCCTCGAACCACGATCCTCAGATCACAGCCTCCTGAGTAGCTAGGATGACAGGCGTGAGCCACTAGCTTTAATAGGCTTTAGGTTTTGGGTTTGGTTTTTTTTCCATCATGAAGGACTGGTGTTTGTCCCAAGGTGTGTGTGTTGGGGGGGGGGAACGGGAGAAACAGTTGTCAATGCCCAGGCCCTGAGTTCGAAGCCCCATGAGTGACCAAAAAAAGAAAAAGGTTAAACCAAAGGTGACATTCTCCAGATTGAAATTTGAGGGCTCACCTCTGGTCTTGGGGCGCTATGTCAGGTGAATGGATGAAGCTGAGAGAGCAGAGTAACTGAGCTGTTTTCCCCAGGCAGCTTTTCTTAGGCAGCAGTTGTATTTTTCCATTGAGTGGATCACGCTGGAGATTTATTTTGGCTCAGTTAAGACCTGCCAAAATGAAAAAAACCCAAACACCGAGCGGGGGGGGGGAAGGGGGGGCAAAGCGAACCCCAGCATCTGCCACAGACCCTGCTTGGAGATTGATCATGCCCACGGAGGAAGAGATTTACAATAGTACATTTCTATGGTTTGATTTTTTTCTGTTTTTAAATCCAGGATGATGCTTGCCATTCATTGATTAGAAACGCTGCCAAGAAAATGAACTTGCCAGTCCGGGGGAAACTTAGGTGTTTAAAACACCCACTAAAAGCAGGGAACCGGTGGCTCACGCCTGTCATCCCAGCTACTCAGGAGGCTGAGATCTGGGAATCCAGAGGATCGCAGTTCGAAGCCAGCCCGGGCAGAAAAATCCCCATGAGACTCTTAACTCCAATAAAGCTCTCAAAAACCGCCAGTAGCACTGTGGTTCACGTGGTAGAGCACTAGCCTTGAGCACAAAGAGGCTCAGGGACAGCTCCCAGACTTTCAGTTCAAGCCCCACAACCAAAAGCAATAACAAAACAACAACAATCTTTCAAGGACCTACAGAAACATGTGGGCAGTAAGAAAGTCAAGGAGCTAGTGGCTCACACCTGTCATCCTAGCTACTCAGGAGGCTGAGATCCGAGGATCATGGTTGGAGGCCAGGGCAGAAAGAAAAAGTCCATGACATTCTTCATCTCCAATTAACCAATGGCTTATCATGGTAGGGTGCTAGTCTTGAGCAAAAAGGAGTCCTGGGACAATACCCAGGTCCAGGGTTCAAGGACTGGCCAAAAAAGAGAGAGAGAAAGTCAAGGACAAGATTCTGTGTTCAATCTCTTGAACTTCAAGGCTAGGTGAGGGCCACAGCCCAGGAGAATCCTAAATACATCGAATACCATGTTTCTTTTCCTCTTTCTGCCCAGCTTTCTCCAGAAACAAGCTCTGATTGAACAGCCACCAAAAAGCTGTGTTTTTGTGGGTTTTGTCAGTCGTGGGGCTTGAACTCAGAGACCAAGGAGCAGACCCTAAGTTTTTTTAACTCAAGAGGAGTGATCTACATTTGAGCCACAGCTCCACTTCCAGTTTTTAGGTGGTTCATGGGAGATAAGAATCTCCAGGACTTTCCAGCCCCAGGCTGCCTTCAAACTGTGATCCTCCGATCTCAGCCTCCAGAGTAGCTAGGAAGATAGGCATCAGTTACTTGCACACCCAAGAGCTTCATTGGCTGAATTCAACATCATCATTGGATTAAGGGCTGGTAGTCAATTGTATCTTCCCCATCTTCACAAATTTTGCAAGAGAGTAAAAGCTAAGAACATGGCCCTGCGGCAAGTCTGACTTAATTGCCTTTCTTCTACGAACCGCTGTGGGCACTGGTGACTCAGACCTGTCCTTGCTACTCAAGAGGCTGAGACCTGAGGATCCCAGTTCAAAGCCAACCTGAACAGCAACAAGACTCTTATCTCCTGCTCCTTAGCCAGCCAAAAAGGCCAAAGGGGAGATGTGGCTAAAATGATTAAACGCAAGTCCACGAGAGTTCAAACCCCAAGACCAATACAAAAAATGTTTGTGTTTTTTGTTGTTTTTCCCAGTCCTGGGGCTTGAACTCAGGGCCTGGGTGTTGTCCCTGAGCTCTTTTCACTCAAGGATGATACTCTACCACTTTGAGCCACAGCTCCACTACTGATTTTTTGTTGGTTAACTGGATTTAAAAGTATCATGGACTTTTCTGCCCAGGGTGCCTTCAAACCCTGATCCTCCAATCTCAGCTTCTTGAGTAGCTGGGATTACAGGCGTGAGCTACTAGGCATGGCCATACTTACTTTACCCATTTTGGCCCACAAAGGGTAGAGGTGCAGATCCAACATACATCTGAACCCAAGGCTTCCCAATTTTTCCTTGGCCCCAAGACAGATCAGGTGAGATGACCAAAGAAACAAAAGCCTTGAGATTTCAATAGAAACGCCATAATTTATTCTGTTGTATAAAAAAAAAAAGTCATTCTTATTATATACCAAAAAATGTCTTCTCAGAAGAAGAAATATATTATTTCAGGTCATAAATAATCAGCAAACATTCAACTGTTGGCAACTTCAAAGACAAACACACACCCACTGGTGTTTCCCCATCAGTTCTGAAAACCAACCGGCGTAGGGTCTATTTACATGACCAGACACTGGATACACACACAGAAAACAAAAACAAAAAAATTGAGGTATTTGTTCCAGCTAGGATTAGACACGGACATGTGTGAAAGCAGGTCACCTTCACAAAAATAAATAAGATATAGTCTCATACGTGTAGGTGGTCAGGAATGGTAATACTGGGAGTTATGTCAAGCCTGAAGAAATTTCTAGAAGGAAAAAAAAAAAAACAGGGCCAAGCCAAAAAACAAAAATGAGTTCATACAATCCTTTCTTTTGAGCCCCACTCTGTGACTGGGGTCTGAGAAACACCCCCAAGTTATAGATTGGTCCCCAATGTGCTCAGTTTAACCAACTTCTTGTAGCCAAAGCCATCATTCATAACTGCTTATTCGGAACCAAGTGAATGAAATGACAAAAGACCAGCAGGCCCGGGGGACCCCCTTCCAGGGGAGGGGGGGGGTTATTGCTTCGTTCCTCGCTCAGAGCCTAGAGTGAGTTCCGGTACTACAGGTCACCCCTCGTGGCTCTTCAGCAGCTGGGTGAGGTGGTGATGGGGCTCTGCAGGTAGCTCAGAGCACTGTTGGCGGGGTGCACAGGGATGGAGACGGGGAAGTTGAACACGGTGGTGGTGGATGTGCTTCGGTCCAGCACTGCCATGGCAGGACTTCCGGCCTCCGCCGAGCAGTGAGGGGCCAGGACCTGGGACTCGAACTGCAGCAGCTGCCCCATGAAGCTGAAGTTGGGGGAAATAACACTCCGTCTCTGCTTCACGAACTCAAAGGCCTCGTCCAGCTTCACTCGATTAGTCCTCATGAGGTAAGCAAGGCAGATGGTGGCTGAGCGGGAAATGCCCGCCTGGCAGTGGACGAACACCCTCCCTCCAGCGTTCTTGATGGAGTCTAGAAAACAAGAAGATGCATGGTTAAGCCTCAGTGCTGGGCGCTGGTGATCCTGCCTGTAATCCCAGCCACTCAGGAGGCTGAGATCTGCGTGATCCAGCAAGAAAATCTGTGAGACTCTTCTCTCAGAAAGATGGCAGAGGGGACTGAGAAGGTGGCTGAGTGGTAGAGGGCTTGCCTACCATCCATGAAGCCCCGGGTTCGATTCCTCAGTACCACACATACAGAAAAAAGCCGGAAGTGGCGCTGTGGCTCAAGTGGTAGAGTGCTAGCCTTGAGCAAAATGAAGCTTGAGGACAGTGCCCAGGGCCCTGAGTTCAAGCCCAGGACTGGCCAAAAAAGAAAGAAAAAAACAAAAAGGAGGGGGGGAGGGATTTAAACCCAAAATTGGTAGTATTGCTTTAACAGATAAATCAAGCCAATTCATAGGAGCCTCAGTTTGTTAATCTGCAAAGTGGGGTGCCAGCAAATCCCTACTTTTGCTGGGACGGTTCCTTAAAAGTATTGCTCGTGGCTAATGCCTAGAGGAAGGCTCAGATGAAGACCACGTGTGTCCTGCGCTAGGGGGAGGCCGGGCCTCCATGGCTGGATCTCTAGGGGACAGAGAGGCAGACAAGTGCCAGGCATGACTTCCAATTACCTATGAAGTCGATCGCCTCATTGAACCAGACGCTGATATCTGCCTTGTGGCTGTCTTCCACAGGAATGCTCTTGTACTGGTAGTGACCCTCAAAATGGTTAGGACAGTTGGCTGAGACGTTGATCAAGGCGGTGATGCCCAGGGCATCCAGCATTTCCTTTCGGGAAGCGTGGTACGCACTGCCCAAATACAGGAAGGGCAGGATCTCCACGGGGCCACCCTGGAATACAGAAATCCAAACCCACACTCAGAGCTTGCTGGAAAGCCCACACCAGGGCCCACACCCACAGAAACTCCCAGGGCTTGGGAAGTGAGCTGCAGGCTGTGGATGACCTAGGAAGTCTTAGCCCTGCTCATGGAGTATTAAAAAAGGAAATAAATAAAATGAGGTGGCTCACATCTATCATCCCAGAGAAGCAGAGACAGGAGGATCGTGGTTCCAAGCCAGCCCGGGGCAGGAAAGTCTGTGAGACTCTTTAATTTCCCACTAAACCCCCCAAGATAAAGCCATAAGTGGAGCTGTGGGCCCATGTGGTTAAGATTGCGTGGAGACGGGGGTTGGTATCTGAATCCACTGATTTGGGCAGAACCAAGAAGCTCACTTGGGTGTCGGTGGCGGCCTGTCTCCTTTGACCTCTGTCCCCTCTGCTACATATAAATAAACCTGCAGTCACTTGCTATATTCCTGCTGGCACAGCTCTTCCTGGCCTGTGCCAGCCCTTCCCTTCAAACCCCCCTCCACTCCCCACCCCTCTGGCTCGGGTCCCCACGAACCTGATCATAGAGCGGGGTGCTGCAGGAGCTGTACCCCGACTGGGCGCTGTCGGGGACGCTGGTGCTCAGGGGAAGGCTGAGCCCCAGGGGGGTCGTCTGTTTGCTGCACAGCTCGGGACAGGAAGTCGAAAAGGCTTCATAGCCTCCTGGAATTCAAAGACACGCAGAGATGTAGACAGAGATTTTTTTTTTTTCCCCTTCCAGGAGTACTAAGAGCACCAAGAGACAAGCACCCCACCCTTCCATTGGAGAGACCCAGGCTAAGTCTTTTGTTCTGTAAACCCAACAAAGCGGGGGG